GCTCTAAGGAGAATGAGATTTACTAGAAAGAAGCAAACCATTTTCAGTAGTGCAGCCCTTTGCTCACCAGATACAGTAAGATGTCGTTCAAATTTTGAAAGATAAGAAAGAACTGAAGGGATAACAATATACATGCTCACAAAAATAAGAACATTGGGCAAAAATTGAAATATTATTGTTGCCAGCCAGCTCGAGCCCTGCACCCAGTTCAGCCACATTTGAGCATGATCCATTGCTTCAGCATTGATTATTCGCCCTGCACTTTGGATGGCACTAATCACAGCGAGTGGAGAGCTGCAGAACAACAGCATCAACAGTAGGCATGTGTTCACCAGCACTCTGCGTAACCTTAAAGAGAACTTTGTCGATCCCAGGTGGTTCCAATATATGTCAGTAGCTAAAGGAGCTCTTTCTACTTTCCACTGGTTCCTCTGTAGTTGCAACTCCACGACTGAAAAGAACCGACCATATCGCCTCCTCTTCTCATTTCGGAGATCCTGGACAGCCTTATTAGCTGTAAAGACATCCTTAAACACAACAAAAGCTACACCAGCACCTCTTGCCCGCCCTTCTTTATAAGATGCCATTTCCATCTCCAAATCAGCTCTCAGCTCTTGCAATTTTCTCAACCTCTCTTCATCTGAGAAACCCAATTGATCAACAACACGATACCAAATATCCTTGGCCTTTCTCCACAGAAAGCGCAGTCGCTCAAACAAACCCCATCCATTCACACTATCATTATCATCCTCTTCCTCCTCATTCAAATAACCCCGTGACTCAATCCTTGACACTAATTTGGAGATATCTTCCCGAACCTTCACCAACTCTGTCGCTAAATCATCTAACGCACACAAATCCATGGGCACAACTACTCTATACACCTTGCCCGGATACTTATGCTGAAAATAATCCACCAATGGTGTCTTATCAAAACCTAAGGTTTTAGGTACTCCCTGCACCATAATTGTAAAAATTGTACTACTATTTGTAACAGGCCCACTTGGATTTCCATAGCCATCTCTAAGCCTAGTAATTTTCAACCTTTCTTGTATTTCACTAATACCATAATGTACCAAAACAACAACAATAACAACAAAGATAAAGTGAATCCAGAGTAAAGGAGAACCTTTTTCTATATGATTTATTGTAGTCTTTGAAAACTGATCAGCCATAGGAGCCTTTCCAGCATGAATATTCAACGGCAGCATTACAGCAAGGGCAAGGAAGGCAAGGAATAATAGCAGCGCCGAGCTGCCGCCTTCAATAAGGAGAAATTGGGCGGCGTCAGCACCGCAGTGGCGGGCGATTTCACGGCCAGTGGCATGCCAGGCGGCGAGAAGCTTAGAGGCGATGGCGGTGGGACCGGGCATGCGACGGTGATCGCTTCGAAGCTTCACGAAGACGAAAATTAGAAGGCAAGTGAAGGCTCCGACGGCAGAGATATTAAGCAGGTACTGGATGTTACCGTACCAAGCGGCATCATAATTGAAGTCATCAGTGCCGCCGCCGCCGCCGGACGGAGGAGGTGAGAAAGTGGAGCTGGTGGTAAAGGCGGCCATGGAAGGTGGGTCAGCATAGGAAATGTAAGCGATCATATTGAATTGAGATAGGGTTTGAATTTGAGATTCATCTACTGTTAGGGTTTTGGCGGGTCGCTGAATTGCAGAAACCGGTGGGGAATTGACCCGAGGAGAAGAATGTCAAAAGTAGGGCTGGCATGTATCGGATAAAAGCGATAACCCGAATCGTAAATTATTTATTGGGTTATTGGGTTAACGGTTCGGTAACGGTTTAGAATTTTTTTTACTATTGGATTATCGGTTCGGCCTCGGTTTGCCAATTTTTTTAATGGGTTAACCGATAACCCAATAAAAATTAATGAAATTACGACTTTACCCTTAAGTATATACATATGCTAGGGCTTTAGTTCATTCTTTCCTATTCTTTCTCAGTTGCACTCTTCAGTCTTCAGTTGCTTCATCTTCTAGTTACTCCTAGTGTAAGTATTTAGTCTTATACATTAAGCTTTTAATTTTTATAACAAAATTCATCTTCATATAGGAATTTTTGATTGTTAAAGATTCTTTATTTTATTTTTTTTGTTTCTTAATTTTGTGAGCTCATGTTGTGCAGCCTATACCTACTACCAGTTTCTTTTTTCAGATTAGACATCTGACAAACAACATCCAGTTTTATCTTGGACTGTTTGAGCCTTTAAGGGCTTTAACGTTTGTGGACGTGCAAGTATTGTGTGAGTACTATATGTTTGAACTTGTTAATTTTAAGGTAAAATTGCTACTACTTTATATTATTATTAATGTATTTGGACAACTGTTGTTGAAGAATTAGTACTATTCCAGTTGTGGCCACTGGACAGAACGCATAAATGGGTAGTATTTATCGGGTGAATTCTTCTCTTTATATGTGAATTCTTCTCTTTTTTGCTTAACTCTAGTTAATTGTTTTTTTCTTTTTTGCTTAACTCAAGATTAAGTTATCTTATCGGGTAAATCGGTAACCGAACTGATAATGATCGATAACCGATTAACCGATACCCGATAACCGATATCTTATCGGTTCGCTTATCGGTTTATCAAATTTATAAATCGATAACCGATATACTAAACCGATAATATTTATAACCGAACCGATGGATGCTCAGCCCTAGTCAAAAGGTGATTCCTTTGGTGTTAAGATCTGATTTCAGGTGTAAAACCCCCTCTTCCTGTGTTGAAGACCATCATAGTGTTGAAGACCATCATAATGACACAATTAGTAATAAGTACTTTTTAAAGTGCTTCTTTAACCACGTGGAAAAGAAAGGAAAGAGGTACTCTTAAGTCCTAACGCCCACACAATCGAAATTGGTAGGCCCAATAAATATCTACCGACTTTCCCCAAAAAAATATATTCTTATATACTATATGAAACTATATTACCTTATCTACTCATGTTTTACTATAATTACATTTTATATACCCAATTATTATTTATGTATATTTTAAGGGAATTAATGATAATAATTAGTGTCCTAAAATTACTCTAACATATCTTCCACTCCCCACGTTTCTCTCTCCACATCCCATTCCCCTCCCACACGTATCTTGTATCCACCCACGATTCCGCCATTGACAACCATTAAAAAAGCTTTGAATTCGAATTTGGGTTTTAAAAAAAATATTATTTGTTTGAATTGGATGTTGTTGCAAAGAATTGAGAATTCTCTCTACGTCTCTCTCTATCTCTCAATCCCTAATTTCAGTAATGTAAAACAAAGGAAAAGAGAGCAGCAATTCCACCATTGACATCCATTAAAAAGCTTTGAATGAAGCTTTGAATTCGAATTTGGGTTTTCAAAAATTATTATTTGTTTGGATTGGGTGTTGTTGCAAACAATTGGGAATATGGTTTGGAGTTTATATCTCAGTTTTGAGGGTTTTGGTGAAGATTGGACTAGTTTTTGGCTGAATTTCAGATTGAAACTCGAAGAAGAAGAAGAAGACATGATATACATTATATTTAGTAAAATTGTAAAAAAATTGTATACTGTTGTTTATATATTTTTCTTTTATTTATTTAACTATTGTATGAAAATTGAACAACATTATATTAAAATTATATTTAAGTTATATGATATTGTAGTTGTATATAACTCAGTAAAAATAATGTATGAAAGTTGTAGCTAAGTTATAGATAAGTTGTATAATATATAATTAGTTATATGAAATTTATTTTTACTATATATAAATCAGATACAAAAGACATAATGTATAATATTTGTATAAAAATTATATTTAAGTGGTATGATATTGTAGTTGTATATAACTGTGTAGAAATAATGTATGAAAGTTGTAGATAAGTTGTAAACACAAGTAGTATAACTTGTATTTAAGGTAACATAAAACCTCAAATTGAAATATATCACTTGACTGAACTGAACTTCCTAAGGTAACATACGTATGAGAGGACTGAGGACACAAAGGAGATGATGAAAAATTCTAGCCAAGAGGTTTTGGGTTTTGTTTAGTTATTTGCCCTCCAAGTAATATTGATTCCAGACATAAAAGGAAGTAATATATTTTGTTCATAGGCATACAAAAGGAAGTACTATTATGAGTTGGTTACGTTAGTTATCAATATAGAGAGACAAAAAAAATTCCCTTTTCCTCCTTAGAACGAATCTGGGGATTAGAATTAATCCAAGCCTTTGAAAATTCCTATTATAATGCCTAACTTTATGCTTTCTTTCCATTTACCCTCCCCCCTCGTGATATAAAAGCCAATTAAATCATCCTAATTCACTTTTGTCTCAAAAACAAAAAATGGAAGATAACAAGCAAGAAATTCTGCCAAATGTGGCTATTAAAAGAAGTCCAGAATCACTTCAAATATCACCATAAAAATAACTCCTATAACAACAACAACAACCTCTACGTTGCACTTAAATATAAGTTGTGCAAACATAAATGAATTGGATGGAGGGAAAATTAAGAAGCTTGTGAGGGATATTTTTATTTTACTAAAATTGGAAACTAAAATCAAGGGATACAGTAGTTGGCTTAAATTGCTGCAACGGTGGAAGATTTGGAGAGAAAAGGGGAAATAGGAGAGAAAAAGGAAAAAGGTATAACTAAATCCCTTGATTGAAATCACTAATAATGGATTGGGAGACTTTTAAGGTGAAATGTATATATTTTGTAAACAAAACTTGTGTAGGTAGGGCAATTTACTAAACATGAATATTTAGGGTAATAAGATTTCCAATAGTGTATAAGAATGAAAAAATCCCAAAAAGCAACCATGCTACGACAATTATATCACTGCTAAAGGACCAAATACGATTCTGGGCCCATGAGCTGAAGGATTTGGTTGTGGTATTGCTTTTGCCCATATATGCTCTCAAATTTGGCACCATTTTTCATTTTGGTACCTTATCTTTAAATACCAGTTGAACACCTCATGCTAATATATAGAGTTGAGAGTAAATGTGTTACATTGATGGGTTAGGTTAAATTTGAACAGATTGAAATGAGTAAAACGAATCATGATTCCACTCGCTCAAATTTGCTTGAGTTTAAGATGGAACTAGATCAAGCTAGGTGAGCTTTCTTTTTTATTACAAGTATACGGTCTAAATCAGAGAGCTCGATTTCAAAGACTTGATCATACCCCGATCTCGAGTTCGGAAGTTCGAAGTAAGAATTGAGCTTGGTCGGGATATGCGCACCTCGAGAAGCAAATCGGAGACCCGTCATGATTTGCCTCGAGGACAGTACAATTTCGATGACAATCAAGAAAGAGCGGGAATTTCTGAAGGACACGTGGATCAGGGTATAAATTATGGGATAAGATTTGTATGAAATAGTACAAGTCCATGCTAGGTTGTTATATAGATGTATCAATAGAATTCTTTACCATAATTGGAAATTTACCATATTAGGGTTTTCCCCTCCTATATAAAGGGGATCTCAATCATTTATAAAGATCATCTCATTCACTGCAATAGAACATTCTACTCTGCTTTTCTCATTTATTATGCTCCACAATTGTTCTTCAGCTTTATTGTCTTTACTTTATTGTTCATACCTTATTTGCTCTTAACTCATCTCGAGGCCCCCAAGATAATCGAGCTCGAGGTCCCCATTGCTCTAACAACACTGGTTTGGTTCATCAATTCTTCTTACTTAAACCTAATATTACTTGTATATTCACTAGTATTGAAATAAATCACATATCTTTAAAATCACAAATCACCTTTAATTGGTACTCACATTTTTTGAGGTAAACTGTTTGGCGCCCACCCTGGGGCTAAAGATAATTGTGATTGTTTCTTTACCGATTCTCATTACACATGTTGTTTTTACACTTTTTATTGTCAAGATTTTTTGATTCTCAGGCTGAAATATGTCTAGCACACAAAACACACATGTCCATAAAAATGAAGGTCTTGGAGAAAATAGCAGTACAGGGGCCAGTGTACCACTATCAACCCTGAGGAAGTGCCAAATATAGAGCCAGTTGATATTAGTTCACATAATGCTCTAAACGCAGACTCGGACACAGATTCTGTAGGGAATGAATGCAGGGAAACTTGATCTGGTGACCAAAGAGCACGAGGAATGGGAGATGGAGGGATCAGCCTCCAAGTGATATTTGAGATGCTGCAGGCTCAACAAATCGCCGCCGCTTAACTTCAGAGTCAAAATAAGACCTCGAGCGTAGCTGAACATGAGAATTCTCGACCTGCTGAACCAGAACCGGAGTAATCAAACGGAAATAACTCGGGGACTGACCCTACCATCATGAGGATTCTCGAAAAGCTCTCCAAAAGGATCGAGACCGGAGAAAATAAGATTGAAGAAAATAACAAAAAGGTGGAGACATACAACTCTATGGTCGACCAGATACCGGGAGCACCTTCGATTTTGAAAGGACTAGACTCGAAGAAGTTCGTGCAAAGATCATTCCCCTAAAGTGCGGCTCTGAAGCCCATCTCAAAGAAGTTTTGGATGCCATACATCCCAAAATATAATGGAACCACTAATCCAATGAGCACATCACCACATATATTTGTGGCATAAAAGGAAATGATTTGGAAGAGGATGAGATTGAGTCTATTTTGCTAAAAATGTTTGGGGAAACACTATCTAAGGGTGCCATGATTTGGTACCATAACTTACCCCCGAACTCTATAGATTCGT